CCTATGGTGATAACTACCACTCACGCAGTTACCAATCCCTTGATACTCTATTATCTATGGATAAAATAATTAGTTTAAAAGCTTCATAGGCTACTCTCCCTCTAAAAATTTGTTTTAAAAATTACAATTACAAAACTTAATGTGACAAATTTTTAAAGGAATTACGGTTTAAGCCCATGGTTTTTTCTTTTAAAAGGCTCCAAAATCACCCTCAATTTCCTTTGTCATTTTCTGAACATATTGATGTACTTCTGTAGAAAGTTTGAGCTGATTCCAACTTCAATTTTTTTTGAGTTATGTCTATTTTTAGAAAATACCAAAATTCTGAAAAATTTAGCCCATGGTTTGTCCCAAAAATGGCTCCAAAGTCACCCCCAATTTTTATTACATTGTTTGATACATATTGATGTCCTTATGCTATTATGGATATTTAAAAAAAACAGCCAGTTTTTGAAAAATACCCAAGGCTATAGCCCATGGTTTTTTTGGGAAAATGGCTCTGAAATCACCCCCAATTTTTATTACATTTTCTGATACATATTGATGTACTTATGTTGTGTAGAAAGTTTAAACTGATTCCGACTTAAATTTTTAAAGTTATTAGTACTTTTGAAAATGGCCAATTTTTAAAAAATACCCAAGGCTATAGCCCATGGTTTATTTTTGGAAAAATGGCTCCGAAATCACCCCCAATTTTTATTACATTTTCTGATACATATTGATGTACTTATGCTGTGTAGAAAGTTTGAAGTGATTCCGACTTAAATTTTAAAAGTTATTAGTACTTTTCAAAATGGCTAATTTTAAAAAAATACCCAAGGCTATAGCCATGGGTTTTTTTTTTGGAAAAATGGCTTCGAAATCACCCCCCATTTTTATTACATTTTCTGATACATATTGATGTACTTATGCCATGTAGAAAGTTTGAACTGATTCCGGCTTAAATTTTTAAAGTTATTAGTACTTTTGAAAATGGCCAATTTTTGAAAAATACTATAGCCCATGGTTTTTTTGGAAAAATGGCTCCGAAATCACCCCCAATTTTTATTACATTTTCTGATACATATTGATGTACTTATGCTGTGTAGAAAGTTTGAACTGATTCCGGCTTAAATTTTTCAAGTTATGAACATTTTTTAAAAACAGCCAGTTTTTTAAAAATACCCAAGGCTATAGCCCATGGTTTTTTGGAAAAATGGCTCCGAAATTACCCCCAATTTTTATTACACTTTCTGATACATGTTGATGTACTTATGTTGTGTAGAAAGTTTAAACTGATTCCGACTTAAATTTTTAAAGTTATTAGTACTTTTAAAAATGGCCAATTTAAAAAAAATACCCAAGGCTATATAGCCCATGGTTTTTTTGGGAAAATAGCTCCGAAATCACCCCCAATTTTTATTACACTTTCTGATACATATTGATGTACTTATGCTGTGTAGAAAGTTTGAACTGATTCCAACTTAAATTTTTTAAGTTATGAACATTTTTTACAAACAGCCAGTTTTGAAAAATACCCTACATGGAAAGTTTGAGCTGATCTGACTTCAATTTTTTACGTTACGGCCTATTTAAAAAATTTGCCAAAATCTGAAAAATACCCATCTTTTTTGAAAAAATGGCAAAAGTCACCCCCAATTTTTATTACATTTTCTGATGCATATTGATGTATTTATGCTGTGTAGAAAGTTTGAGCCAGTTCCGAGCACAAAATTTTAAATTATGACCATTTTTTAAAAAATGGTCCAATTTTTAAAAAATTTCCTGTACTATAGCCCAGGGTTTTTCAAAAAATGGCTCCAAAATCACCCCCCCCCCCCCCGGCCCCCAATTTTTTTTATTTTCTGAAACATAATATTTGTACCTATACTATGTATGCTATGTAGAAAGCTATTAGTTGATTTAGACTATGTTATGCCCATTTTTTAAGTCTCAAATTTTTGGAAAAAAGCAAAGACTATAATACTGGCACATGTATAGTACTTGTAATGGGCCAAATTGATTCTAACTTTAAGCAACCTCAGGGCTGTGACAGTAAAAACACAACTTTAAACCTTGAAATGATTTTAACTAAAAGCAGGATTATTAAAAGTATTCATCTTTTCCACAGTGTAGTGTTGTTTGTCGATGAAGCTGATGCTTTCCTAAGAAAGAGAAGCAAGGTACAGTGCATGTGTATTCAATCTGTTACATGTACATGTACTTTTATTAAGTACTGTGTTTGTGGGTATCTTATTAACTAACATGTGTACCATATAGTGGGAAATTAGGAGGGAGTTACATTTTGGCTAATTGCTACATTGCTAAATTTGGAGAGTTTGGCATTTGGAAAATTTCTACATTTTGGTGATTGGCGAATTTGATTTTGGTAAATTTGTGACCACATGCCATTGAGCATGCTCAAAATGGTGGATTTTTATTTTGCCAAATGGCAATCAAAATGCCAAATTCGTCTAATTTAACTCCCTCCAAAATTTCCCACTATATGTTATTTAATAAGAAGTGCTGGCTGCATTTTAGGTATCTATCAGTGAAAACCTTAGGAGTACATTAAATGCTTTTCTATACAGAACAGGAGAGGCTAGCAGCAAGTATGAATAAGAAAAGATTATTACCCTAATACTGGGGTAATAATTACTCTATCCCTTATAGGTTTATGTTAGTTCTTGCCAGTAATCAGCCTGATCAGTTTGACTGGGCTATCAATGACAGGTTAGACGATCTGGTTCACTTTGATCTTCCTGGGGAAGAGGAAAGATACCGACTTCTAAAGCAATACTTTACACAAGTAAAGAGGGAGAGAGAGACTAAATCAATATTAATTTTATTTTAATTTTATTTTTAGTATGTCCTCTCTCCTCCTCGTACTTCATGGTGGAGACGTCAAAAGATGATACCCACGCCACCTGACATAAACTGGGAGGAATGTTTCAAGAAAATGTCAACAGACGTTGCTGGTTTCTCTGGTAGAGAGATTGCTAAATTAGCAGTAGCATGGCAGGTCTGTGTGCACTATATTGTAGTTGTATCTATTGTAAACATACATGTAGATGCCGTAGGCTGCCTTTTTTTTTGAAGGCTGTAAATTTCACGGATTTTGCGATTTTCTAAAGATTCGCAAAGATTACTTCTGCAAGAATCAAATTAATACGGTAAAAGATGGCAGAAGGCATAAATTCGCCAAAATTAAATTCACAAAATAAAAATCCACGAAATTTACAGCTCTTGAAAGAAAGGTGCCCTACGGTATATTACACAGATTTGTGTGTTTGTGTATTATTGTACAGCTGGAAGTATTTGCAGGGAATTGAATTTTGAGAGTTTGTGGATGAATTAGAAATGCAAATTTTAAATCTGCAAAATAATGATATTTATGCATGACCACAGTAATAATTATTATGCTACAATAACTGTCAAAACCACAAAAATTTTATCTACAAACCAACTTGTTTTTAAGGATTTGTAAAAATTTTCTCCACCAACTGTGCGGTATGCATGTATATACCTGCTATTGTGGACACTCTAAAATAAGGAGGCCTCTATAAATGAGGACAGGTAGTATCAGTCCCAATGCAATATAAATGTGTATTAATGAGCCTATGAAATAAGCACAGGTTCATAATCAGAAGGGTATTATTGGGTCCCAAGTGTCCAGAATAGACAGGTTTAACTGTAATACATAATCATACAATGACATACCGTATAAGTGGTTTTTTTTGAGGGTTGCGAATTTCGCGGATTCCCTCCTAATTCAAGAAAATAAAATCTGCAAAAATCAATTTAATATGGTACCCGCATGGCACACATGGTAGAATTCGCGAAATTAAAATCTGCGAATTCGAATTTTAGCAGATTTTGCAAAGTATAATTCCCTCGAAAAAACCACTTATACGGCATATAAGTCTCTGTATTATATCTATTGTTGTAAATGTCTCTTCCTTAGGCTGCAGCTTATGGTTCTCCTGGTGGTGAGCTGACGGTGAAGATGATTAATGATTGTGTGAATGAAATGATATCACAACACAAGCAAAAGAGAGTCTGGCAAGATGACGAAGTTATTAATGAATAATAATAAAAATTATTATTAATTATTATAATTAATATCAGAAGTGAAAGTCTGCCTTAACAATGTATAATAGTGTGTATAGTTTAAAAACAATTAATTTATTATTATTATTATTGTTATTATTATTATTATGTCTGGTTTCACCACACACACGGTCTCTCAAGGTTGAATAGCTTGTATCAGTAGCTCATTGTAGTCCTTCTGTAGTTGTTGAACTCTCTCTGCCACCTGTTTGTAATTGCCCTCCATTTGTCTTGTTGCTATAACTAACATTGACCAACAAATTAAGGAATAATCACTTGAAAATGTGTAATTCAATTATTATGTAATGTTGATTATTATTATTTTGATGGATACATTCTTTCATGACGAAATTGTTTTGCTCAATATGTTGCAGTTTCCTTTCTAAATTCCCCAGCTGAGAGAGAAAGATTGGTATTAATAATTATACGTGTACATGTTCATTACCTGTGTATAAGTTTCATCTTTAGCTAGTATTGCTTTTTCATTTTCATAGACAGCTTGTACCTCCTCTGTATCTACAAGTATCAAAATGACAAATGTACAATTCAAAAATTGCATAATATTGAGGAGTTGTTGTTATACAAGCATCTAACTCCTTCACAGTTGATGCATAATTTATATTTAACCTTTTTTACTAAATCGACACAAAATTAGCCAAATTTTAATTCTGTGTGGCCATCAGATCATTAAAATACATTATGTATGCTTTTGCAAATTAACGTATTACATGATACCAATTCTGATATCCTATAATACTGGTACAGCCCTGACACATTATATATACACGTAGGTCATGCCTGACATTCTGGGATGAATTGTTACAAATTTTATCATGATTGTATCATGGCTGATTTTTGCAGTTGTATCTTGAGCAATAACAATTGGTAGTGTACAAGTAGGTCCACTGAAGGACCCCCAAAAATTGAGACGTTTAACACAAAGTGCCAAACGAATCATTGTGTTGTAGTAATGGTGTCAGCAGAACATATCTCACTCACGATCATTGACATGTTGTGCTACCCTCAGATAAGGACGTTAAATGAATACTTGGAAAAGTTGGGCTTATAATGCTGTAAAACATGTTAAAGGTATCGTGGGTTGCATTGCTTAGCCACAGGAAGTTATGAATATCATTATAAGCTGTTAACACATACTTTTCTTCACTGCTATCTTTCTTTGAGCCAGTTTCTCCCTTTCAACAATAAGTCCCTATTAGGTGTTAAGCATTTCCATGAAAACTCGTTTCAGATTTACTTTTTCTATCATTTCCTGATCATTTCTCAATTTCTCTAAATCACTGAATACCTCAACTTCCTAATAATGCACATACATGTACATGTAAAGTTGTGATGCTATTTTTTTACCTGTTCCATTGTGGATATATTCTCCTTGAGTGTCTCAAGCTCCTTTTTAATTTTATCTTCCATCTACATTTATATGAATGCAGATTTATAAATACGTGCTATAATCACGTCTTCCATGTACTAACCTCATTGATGTTGTGCAGGTCTTTTTGAAGTTGTGCATTTTCTATAAGAACGAGAGAAGAGTGAGATACATGTAGAGAAATATTATAAATGTACATGTGTCAAGGTTCTGCCTAGAAAGAAATTAGAGATAGTCGGTCACTAATATTGTTCCTTTTAAATTTATGTACACCATACTAGTAGACTACAATATCATGCTTTATGTATGGTTATTAGTATTAATTGGCTGGTTGGTCTAAGTGATGAACTGGTTGGTTCAATTGTTGAGGTGATCGTCCCGACCACTCCCAACCATTATAGACAGAACTATGATGCATATGTTAATCGTACGTGATTCAAGAGTATTGGCAGTCTTTGATGCCTTCTTCACTTCTTCCTGCTTATACAATAGATCCTCTTGTAGCTCCTGATACTGTGAGACTGAGGGAAGATTCTCAGATTCAACTATAGCCTAAAAAGTATAATACATATGTTAATAATAGTTATCCATTACTCTCATTCATACCTCGCTTATATGTTCAAGTACACCAACTATCATTTCTTGCAGATTCTCTAGTTTTTCCTACAACACCATGTAGTGTATCAGGTAAATGCATTATTATACATGCAGTTTATGTGACATACCATTTCTGCTTTCTTAAGATCTTCAAAACTGTCTATATAGCCTATAAAAAAGTTCAATGTATATATTTCATGTATTTTCTTTCTAGTTTTTCTTACTTTGTCTCTCATCTTCCTTTGCTTTTAATTCTTTTATTTTTGCTGCTTTCTCTCCTTGTGCTTCATCTAAATTAGCTTCAGTTTGTCTCAGTGATTCCTGGTGCTTATCCAATTCATCCCTCAGCTCATCAGACCTACCAACAGTAACACACACACACACACACACACACACACACATCAATTGATTCTTCTCTTAATGACCCATAAAGTCTCATATACCATATAGAGCTTTAATTTGGTGGAGTTTTATTTTGTTGATTAGCAATTTGCAAGCAGAATTACCAATATTAAAACCGCCAATCATTAATGCACATGCTCAGTGATGCACATGTACACAAAAATCACCAAATTAAAAACTGCCAATTACAATTTTACAGCAAATTGCTAAAATAAAGCACTCCCAAAATAAAGCACTATATACAGTAAATCAGGGAATGATGTATGTAATACAAATAATTATAGTGACCTTCTTTCAAGTGATGCTATTTCTTGATTGTCACGTTTAACTTGTTTCAGTAATCTTTCTCTCTCTTGTTCCGGAGTTTCTTTTTCCTTCTGTTTCCATTCGTCACGTTTAGCAGTCACTTCCGCTAACTGTTGATGCAATTGAACTGAAAAGAAAAAAGAAAATTGTTCACATTTCTTTTAGTTTTGCTTGCACTTACATGCTCTTTGCTTTAAATCTGATGTAGCAACTTCTTCTTTAAGCATCTTTGCTTTCTCTGTTAGAGACTCTAACTCCTTCTCTTTCTGTTCTGCATCCTGTTATGATTCATAATTATTTTTCATTACCATCATATGTTGCATTACTTCTTTAATTTGAGCATTTTCTAATTTTAGTTGATGATATTTACTACGTACTTCTTCATCCTATAGTAATAAATTATAATCAGTGTATGGCTTTTTGAGCAACTTTAAAAACAATTTTGATCGGAATCTGCTCAAAATTTCTACACAGCATAAGTATGTGTCTATGCATTAGAAAATGTACATGCACTAAAATGGAGAATTTGCTCATAATCATTTTTGATGAAATTTGAATAAAGATAGGGACTTCCGCCAACTTTTCAGCAAATTTTAAAAATTCATAAAAAATCCAAATTTGATCTGAATCAATTCAAAATTGTTAATTAACCAAAGGACGTATATACATTGTGAAGTATCATAAAAAATAATAAAAATTGAGAATTCTCTTCCATCATCAGTACAGGAACTTTCGCCAACTTATTGAGAAACTTTAAAAATTCATTAAACCACCATCACGGAATGCTGATCACACCATTAATAAACAAAATCATTGACAAATAAAAAACTATCAATGATTAATAAAGGTATAGTGTTCATTATTTACAGCCATCCTGAGGTACACGATAGACGCCAGTCCCCCCCATCCATATATACACCCAGTCCTCTCTCCCTAGCTGCATCCAATAAACCATCAACATATTCTGTACTTGTGTCGTTGAGTCGTGAGTACCAATTGATACCAACAAACCAGACGTGATCGAACTTCTCATCGCACTGAACTTCAATGACCCACTCGTAGAGCCCATCCTCTCCCTCTTTAAAATCAACAACAGTGTCTGGGAAGAGGATCTCAGGGAAAACTGAAGCAGTTCCGTTAAAGTGGCCCCTAATGTCCGTTAACTTGAAGTGAAAAGTGAATCCGTAATCATGCCCAAGGCACTCAAGTTGAAAAGAGTCGTTGATTTGCTTCAGAGAAGGATCATACACTTTATGCGATGTCATGCACCTAGGGCCTTTAAAGCAGACAGGGAATTGAGTATAGTCGTGTAGAGCAAGCTCGTAATAGTTCCCAACAAACTTTGAAATGTTGAAGGAGTTTCTAGCTACATCTGACTGCATCTCTTGTGGGCTCGGGCATTTGGTATAATTAAACTGCAGCCTCTCTCCAGTGGCTGGAGAATGCAAGACAAACAGACAAGATACTAGCAAGTAAACTATTAATCCTGCAACCATTGCAATTGAATTATACCTAATTATGTCATAATGACCCCGCCCATTTAATTAAATACCCACCCACTTAATTGGACGCCCACGCATTTAATTTGCTAACCATTGATTCAATGAGGGTTTCTGTTAGTTGCTTTTCTTGTTCAATTTCTGTCTCGAGTTGATTGGCTTTGATCTCGTGTTGATGTTTCTCAGCAAACAATGAATCGATAGTCCGGGATTCAATTTCATTTTGATGACATAACTAAAAGGAAAGAACAGTATACATGTAACATACACATGCATACATGTATTATGCTGTAACTAAGGTGTAAAACAAGGTCCACATTTGGTGAACTAAATGCTCTCATAATCTCAGCATAAATGCTATGAAGTGCTACCATGACATGCTGTGTGTTTTGTAAAATTTTTTCAACTGATTCTGATAAAAGTTTGATTGTTAGAAATAATTTTTAAAGTACATGACATGGGTACAGTACATAAAATGTGCAGCCTTGAGCATTGTTATTTTTCAGTCTAAATATAGCAAAGAAAGTTTCTTTATATTGTATGGATGCAGGAATAAGAGGAGATAGTGTGAAACAGCAAAAAGAGATATTAAAACAGTGAAAATAAAGCATGCTTTAATATCAATGCAAAAAGTATACTCTTATACTATAATGTGCCTTATTCATAAAAAGCCAATAATTATAAAAGTAGTTTGATGATCAAGTGTCTTATCCTATACTACATATGTACATGCGTAGTTGTGTACTTACTGCAGAATAATCTTCAATAATTGCTTCGATTTCAGTTTCAGTATTCAACTTATCAATAAGCTACAAACATAATTAATATCATGTACATTCATCAATATGATAATTACTGTATTATAGTCTCCTAATTCTCCTCTTAAATCCTCCACTTCACTAGCAAGCACTTCAGCTCTATATATCAACTTCAGTAATGCAAGTACTGACAGGCTAAACACATTACCTCTTCTCATATGTCATGTATGTAGCACTCTCTTGCTGAAGACTGTCCAGCTCTCTTGTCAGCTTCATAACTTCATTGTTTAGTTCACCTATCTTGCTCCTTTAGATGCAATATATAAAATACTGGCTCATGGTTCATGTCAGTTATATCATGTACCTCAATAATCCCAAATAATACGATTTATCTTGCACTTGTCTCTGTGGACCTATAAAACAGTTGCAATAATATCATATTACACTTGCTTTTTTATATGCCATAAATCAGGTAATTTTTAAAGGTTATAAAATACATGAAAAATTTAGAAGATGGAAATTTTCATATGCTGCTGCCTACTTATCCCAATATATTAATAGGTGGAAAAAGAAATAACTAAATTTAGTATGCATCAATTGCTTTACGAAAATTACCATCATCAACCACATTATGATAGTGCTTTGTTCGTAATTCCCTCTCTTCTCCAACTCACCTTTCACACCAGTACCCATTCCTCCTAGTCCCTGTCCTGTGACTGGCCTATCCGATATAACTACCTGAGAATTCAGGGCACCTCCTCCTATCCCACCTACCCCACGGCTACCAGGACGCTAACAGGAAATAACTCAAATACCATAATACACATTATGAATATTCATACCATTCCGGTACCAATCCTGAAACTGCCAGTTTGAAGTCTGCCGGACCCTAATAAAAAGCCTTCTATTACCATTAGAGGTTCATTTATCCACAATACCTGTTGGTAGTCTTGGAGGTCTCCCTCCAGTAGGAGGAGGGCGATAATTAGACCTACAAGACAATGGGGTTGTTGTTCAGTTACCATGACGACGGCAGGGTAATTGCACTACATAGAAACATTCTCTGGATTAGCTTACATCTTATTAGACTCTAGAGCAATCCACTGAATCCAGGACACTTGGTTTTGTATAAAAGACGGTCTGAAGTAAGACTTGGGGAAGAAAAGTGGCAGCCTCACCTCTTGCTTGTTTGTTTGTAATTTTTAGTAGGCGTGGTCTGAGTCATTAATGGGCGTGGCATGGAAGCGTGGAGTCACGAGGCCATTGTCTCTGCTTCTCTTTCTCTTTTCCAGGGACTGGGTAAGAAAGGGAAGCCTTCTTCTGAAGAATGGACGCCTTTGGCAACCTTTTCTCTCACTGATGATAGCAAAACTGGTACTAATCTCAAAAAATTAATCTAATTAATTGAATCTCAAATTTGACCCTTATGGGCTTGCTTTTTTAGATATTGCTAAAGTTATTTCATTGGGCACTGGATCAAAATGCATTGGAGAGCATAAAATGTCACTGGAAGGTATTTTGGTTGCTTAAGTACCAGTAGATAAGTAATAGGAGTGATATCTTATTTGCCTTGCTGTACTGATTATGAACCAATGTAATGAACTGTAGGACTGGATCATTTTAAATTATTTTAATGAGCAATAGTAATAAAGGCACTGTTGATTTATTGTGAATGTATTATAATGTGGGTTTAAAAAAATTTTTATTGATGTGCCACACTGCCATGATATTCCTTTAGCTAACATGATATTACTGTATGTACATACAGTTAAACCTCTCTAAAATAAACCCCCAATTAGCGGACACCTCTCTATAACGTACAGTTGCTCTTGTCCCAGCCATAAGGCCATTGGGTAGTGTATAAAAGAACCTCTGTATAGCGGAGCCTCTCTATTCTGTATAACGGACGAGATTTATTGTCCCCACACATCTACATGTGTACAAATTAACCTCCAACGGATGGACACAGCCCACGCACTGGACTTTCTAATTAACGCGCATCAAGAAAATGGTGGATTTTCTGGTCTGATTAGCATGGGATAACCTCTGATTCAAGAACACCTCCGTATAAATGACAGTGATAGCTGGCCCATAGGTGTCCATCTTAGAGAGGTTTGACTGTATACAATGAAGTAGATTAACAATTATAATATTTTACCGTTATAGGTTGGTTAGTTAATGATAGTCATGCTGAAATTATTGCTAGGAGGGGTTTTGTGAAGTAAGTACAAAACATTGTATGTTGATTTTTGAAAATAGAAAGTTTAAAAGCTTTTTGAAGATTTATAAAAGGGTTTCTCACATAGCATATTAAGTGACCTAAACAGCATGCTTTCGAGCTGACAAGCACTGCAATATATAGTGCATGGCATTTGAAACAACTTTTTAAAATGTACATGTGCATGTATGGTGTATCAAAAAAAATTAGCTATAAAATGGAAAATTCTCTTGAGCCATTTTAATGAAATTTGACCAATGTCCCTGTACTGGGTATTTGGCTCAATTTTTGAGCTACTTTTTAAATTTGTAAAAAAATTCAGTTTTGATTTGAATCAGCTCAGACTTTATTTGCAACATTAGTACATGCATATGTATCAGAAAAATTATGAAATTTGCAAATCCTCAACTTTTCAATTATGGTAAAATTTGGCCAGAGACCCTGTACTACAGTACAGGGTCTTTGACCTCATTTTTTAGCAACTTTGAAAATTTGTAAAAAAAATCAGTTTTAATTAGAATCAACTCAAACGTTCTAGTTTCTATGTAACATAAGTACATGTATATGCATCAGAAAAATTTTTAAAATGGCAAATTTTATTCTTCTCAAATTTGGCGAAATTTGACTAAATTCTCTTTACAGGGTCTTTGACCTGATTTTTTGGCAACTTGATAACTGGCTGACAGGAAACTTAATGAGCACTATCCCAAAATTATTTGGAAAATGCTGATTCAAATTAAATCACATGTAATTTAATAATCACTGCCTGCTAACCAAGAATCGGGGAATTATTTTGTGAATTAATTTTTTTATTTTTAGATATCTTATTGGACAATTAAAATCAGCCATTTTAGAGACAGAGGATACAATCTTTGAGAGGTCACCTATATGCAAAGGACAGTACAGTATAAAGAATGGTATCAAATTTCATTTCTTCACTTCTCAATCTCCATGTATGTCAATGTGTGATAATGCATTCTGTTGCTTCATAAATGTCATATATGTCTGCTTAAACTTTTTTGTTGATCTGTTTTGAGCTTTGCCTGTGGAAATTTTCTTACTATGAGAAATATGAAAATTACATGATAATAATTTTTGCAAATTACCAGTATTCGGATTTTGGAGGCTCACAAAATTTTTTTTAACTATTCTGCCATCTTGTACCATATTTTCATTAATTTTTTGAGTCTTAAAAAAGTCAACGAAATTTGTAAAATTTGGTACCCTTAAAAACCGCTATACAGTATATCTATAACCATGTACCACATGCTAATTAATTATTAACTTTTATGTTACAGGTGGAGACGCTAGTATCTTCCCCCTCTCCACAAAACATCAAAGAATTGAAGAAGAGGAGGGAGAAGAGAATGGATCTGCTACCAAACGAATGAAATTAATTGAAGAAGAAAGTGGATCAATTACAGAAGGGAATCCTAACCAATTTCCTATTAGATCTACTTCAGCCCCTAAAAGTACAGTGACTGTTAGTACTGGACAAGCAGTAGATAGAGAATTGAATGCTGTAGAAGATGGAGCCCATTCTGATGTACATAGAACTGGTACCAAGTGTTTAATCACTAGTACTGGACAAGCAATAGATGAAGAAGTGAATGCTGTAGAAGATGGAGCCCATTCTGATGTACACAGAACTGGTGCCAAGTGTGTAAAGGGTGGCAGTACTGATTCTCATTTGCCCGGTCTAGGCTATCATGTGTTAAGAGCATTAAGAACTAAACCAGGTCGGGGTGACCCTACTCTTTCCATGTCGTGCTCTGATAAGATGATGAGATGGAATGTGTTAGGAGTTCAAGGAGCTCTCCTGTTTCTCCTCATAGATAAACCAGTTTATTTACATTCTATTACTGTTAGTGGTGAACTGTATAATCAAGAGGCAATGGAAAGAGCACTAGTGGGGAGATTGTGTCATTTGAAACTGAGCAAGGAGCTACTTGAAAAAGGCTATAAGCTTCATCAGCCTATCATCAAGCAATTAAAACAAGGATCTTTGCAAGAACTTACAAAAGGAGGGACTAGATGCAGAATGGCACCTGGAAGTGAGGCACAGATTCAGTTTTAATTCTTATCCTCTTTTTATATGCAATGTACATGTAGGTATAGTTTGGTGTATTGATCCTCCAACTCATGAGGTGATAATACAAGGATATTGCCAAGGAGCTAATAGGAAGCAGAAACCTGATGATAAATCTAGGTTAGTTTACCTGAAGTATACATACATGCTTATTGTTGATGCATATAATTTTAGTGTTTGTAATTTTAAAGATGAACTATATAACTAGAATATTTGGTGAATTGAAGCCCACTTGCCAAGATATTAATCTCTAATTTGATAAGGCTCTGCTTCGAAGCATAGAATTGGTCAAAATTTTGCTAAACATTTAACAGCCAAACCTTATTTAGAGTCAATTTGCCAAGTCTTATTTTACAACTTTTCTAGCTACATGTATGTTGTGACAATGAGCCGATGACAGCATGTGCTAGTGGCTTATGTATTATGTTTCTATTATCCACTCTTGGTTTCTTGTATATAGTGTTTCAATATGCAAGAAAAAGTTATTTAGCGATTTCAAAGAGTTAGTGCAGTTAATCTCAGACAATGATCTGCCCGTGATTTTAAGTGATTTAAGAGTTCAAGAATATGAAGGAAGGTATTACGACTGGAAGCAATCTTCTCTTGACTATCAGAAAGCAAGGACCTTGTTTAATGAACATTTTCCAACTTGGCTGACAAATGGGAGAGAGTTAGAATATTTTTAATGAACTGATTATTGCTAAATTGATTTAATTTTGCTATTAATTTTTTACCAAAAAATTTATGATGGTTTTTGTTTGTACCGTATACATGACTCGAATTATCCGCAATAGCAGGAAATGTAATAAAAATTTAGAATCTGTGATTTAATTAATTAGCCTGTGCATAATAAATGACTGCTGGTGGTGCGAAAGAAAGAGGCTGAGTCAGAGAGGTGAGGAAAGCCGAGCGAAAGCAGTTAGGGAACAGTCATGGCTGCAAGCCCCGATGAAATGGCCTTAGAAGAGCAACCGGCAACTACGGACAGAGAATCTACGTCCCCAGTAGCGAGCCCGTCTCCTAAGAAAGAGGGAGCGGATGAGAAACCTGCTTCACCGTCCAAGAAAAGCAAGAAGACCGCTGAGAACAAGAACCTCATTAATTGCGTTGTTTTTCTACCCGATGGCACCACTGTGTCTCTCGATGTAGATGTAAGTACAGTAAAATCAAATGCTAAGACACCTTCCTACATGATTTTGTCCCCTCCCCCCTATATCTTTCTCTCTTTCCTCCTCTCTCTTTCTCTCTCTCTCTCACAGCGCAAGGTGAAAGCATTTGATCTTATAGAAAGGATCCATACTGACACTGATGTTTTTGAAAAAGATTATTTCTCTATTTATTTCATAGACAACAACCAAAAAGTAAAATGTTTATCAATCTACATGTATGCTAAATGTAATGTGTTGATCATTATCATTATTTTTAATAGATATTTCTTGATCTCCATAAGCCTGTTAAAGACCAAGTTCCAGCAGGTACTGTACAATATACGTGTTTGTTCTTGTTGTTGTTTGTTATTCTGGTGAAAGTGGTTCGTTGCTACTTGCTAGCATTCTTCTTGTTGTAACATACTTAAGTGTATGCTCTTGAGAATTGAACATTGTATCAAATTACACTTCAGAATATTTAGAATATTTTAATGGACCATTGCACTTGCTTTGTGCATTTGTGTGTGTGTGTGTGTTTGTCATCATTAGCAATTTATTGTCGGTTTTATTATTTTTATTTGTCAGTCGGCAGTATTTTTATTGCTTTTGTCAGAAAATGAATTAGTTAGCTTTTAAGTCATGTGAAGCTTGTTTATCATTCGTATAAATGTATGCATAATTAAATGTGTGTGATTCTTTATGGAATCACTAGTTTAGTGTTGTGTATCTTTCTAACAGAGATGAAGCAGGAGTGGAGGCTGAGGTATGGAGTCAAATTCTTTCTGAGTGATCCTAGTTTGCTTAAAGAAGATGTCAGCAGGTGAGAGAGAGAGAGAAAGAGAGAGAGGGAGGGGGAGAGAGAGAGGGAGAGAGAAAGAGAGGGAGGGGGAGAGAGAGAGGGAGAGAGAGGGAGAGAGAGAGAGAGAGAGAGAGAGAGAGAGAGAGAGAGAGAGAGAGGGAGAGAGGGGGAGAGAGAGAGGGAGAGAGAAAGAGAGACAGGGGGAGAGAGACAGGGGGGAGAGAGAGAGGGAGGGAGAGAGAGGGGGAGAGAGGGAGAAAGAAGGATAGAGGAGGAGTTCATGGTATTGTTTAGTCTTCACTGAGAGGGTAAGGAAGAAGGAATTAAATAACTGAGCACTAATTGTAATAGGAACATTCATTACAAGACATTTCTAGGATGCCTTGGATTACAACAATAGTATCTAACAGAGGGAGTATGTGTTTGTGTGTGTGCGTGTGTGTGTGTGTGTGCATGCGTGTGTGTGCCTTATTTTTAATAATCAAAATTTTGCATTGGCTTTGCTGGCTGTCAGCATTGTTATACGATGTACATGTACATTAATGTATTGGCTATTGGAGTGGGCATATTCAAAACACATGCGCTGTATAATGCATTTATTGCTAAATTAGAAAAAGCTGAGTATTAATTACGTATCAGCCAGTAGTCTATTTGTATATGTAGTGTCCAATGGGCACTGTCACTTTGATGTATTGAAATGAATATTAAGCTCTGTCTCTGTAGGTACAATTATTGTCTACAGCTCTGCAATGATATTAAAGATAATCGTGTTCTTGTTGATCGGGAAACAAGCTGGAGACTGACTGCTCTTATGCTGCAAGGTATATTACATTAATGGACAAAATGTGAAATATTTAAGAATCGTAGCCAAGCTAGTAAAGCATATTGTATACACATTGTTTTATCTATAAACCAGGAACTTGATAATGCTTTCTTTTATTTCATATCCACTCTTGCTGCCATGTGCTCTCTCTCCCTCCCTCCTTTTCTCCCTCTCCCTTTCTCCCTCCCTCTCTCTCTCCCTCTCTCCCTCCCTCTCTCTCTCTCTCCCTCCCCCTCCCTCCCTCCTTTTCCCTAGGCTCATTGGGTGATTACAATCAGGCTGAACATCCTAAAGGCTATGTTGACAAGTTCAGGGAGTTCTTGCTGTTGCCTAATGAGGCTATGGTAAGCTAGCTGCATCAGTATAGAGACATGTAAACAGGTTTATGAGGCATTTTGAGGCTTTTAGCACTACCATTTGTAGCTATTGACAATATTCCTGCTAATTCCTTCCTTTAATTTGATCAATGAAATTCCTTTCATCTTGTGTACTGATACTAGTTCTAATTGCCATTTACTTTTAATAACAATGCAGTATCAATAACATGTCCTTGAGATTATAGCAAAGCTGCATGTACATGTACATGTACATATCATACTCATATTGGAGCCTAAATTATAATGTGGCATTAAATTACATGTACATGTACGTGTATTTGTGGTATTAAATTACCATTGATTTTATCATATACTCTATCAATGAATATTTGTCTTCAATATATTTAGTGTAACTATAAATAAAGTTTTATCACACCCAGTACATGTACATGTACATGTAGATATGTGTGTATTTAAAGTAGATCAAATGCCGAAGAGTTATTTTAGTGACTAAGAAGTCATTATAGTGTCGTTTGAATATTCCAGCTAATCCTGTTAAGATAGTGTTGTCACTGGAATTCTCTTTGATAGCCAGCCACTAGTATGTAATCTTCATTTTTACGTGAGGAGCTTATTCATGCTTATCTCCTATTGCTGAACTATTCGGATTCTCTTTTTTGTACTTTAACTACCTTTCATTCATGCTTGAAATATGTCATATGTATGTACACGTACATGTACACGTATGTCTATATAGGCACATTATGAATACAAAATGTAACTGTCTGTAACTATCACTGCACATTACAGCACACGAAATATTGCACTAATACTTTACATGTGTATTACAATGCATTGATAAATACAATGTACACTGGTATTGATATTGAATTGATTTTGCTATTGAACTTTGTAGTGTCAACTAGTATTGAATAGGTCAGCATAGGAACAATGTTTGAATGATTAATACAGTCAATTGAACCTGCATGTCTATTTTGGACACCTTGGTACCCAATAATACCCTCCTGATTATGAACCTGTCCTTATTTCAGAGGCTCATTAATACACATTACTATTGTATTGGGACTGATGCTACCTTTCCTGATTATAGAGGTGTCCTTATTTTAGAGTGTTCACAATTTAGCTGATTATACTCTTATTTCCATTAGACTGTCCACAATAGCATATATTTCTGTATTTCAAATTTTCCATTTTACTTTTAGAACGAGGACTATGAGGAGCCCATCACTGAACTCCACAAATCAAAAGTTGGGTACACTCCAGCTCAGGCTGAGTCGGAGTTCCTTCAGATTTGCAAGAAGCTCCCTCGCTATGGAATGCATCTGTTTGTTGTCAAGGTACATATAACGAGATTAGCTTGATTGTTGTAGTAGTAATGGATGTATCACTATGTCTTCTTCTTATTTTTGATTACTGTTCTTGGAATGAGATTTGAAGTAGAAAGGTGGGGGGAGAGTAAGAAAGATAACAGATAGTACCTGGAATGAGCGAGTGAGAGAGTAACAAAACATGCAGTGTCAATGAATCTGGTATATTTTGAGTGATGGTAGTTTTTGCATAGCAATGAGGCATACTGAATTTAGAATTGCTAATACACTGTACATGTACATGTATTTCCATTTAAAATACATGTACATGTACATGTATATTGGGATGCATGTAAGTAGGTAGCATATCAAAATTTCCAACATCGAAATTTTCCATTCTGTATTTTATAACCATTGAAAATAACCAGATTCACGGTACAATGTAGGAGGAAAAACAGTGGGTTTAGCCTTTTGCTTTTTTATGTAGGAGCTATGGCATTAAAGCATTGGTTTTTGAAACCAGCCCCCCCCCCCCACTTTTTAATTTGTGTTTACTTTTATAAGAGTGGAAAGGATTGAGGGAGAATCCAGAGGAGAAAGAGAGAGAAAGAAAATACTATATGATCTCATTGATGTGTGTATACTCTACTACAATGTATGTGTGTGTGTGTGATGAATGAAGGAGAGAGACAGAATGAAAGAAAAAGAAGAGAATTTAAATTGAATATTATAACAGAGCACATTATTAATTACGTATATATATTTTCTGGTTCACAGGATAAAGCTGGTACGGTGCTACTGGTCGGTATATCTTATCGTGGTATATCAATATTTGAAGATCATGTTGAAATATCCAAATTCCCATGGCCAAACATTAATAAGATTTCTTATAAACGGCACAAGTTTATCATCAGGTACAGCAGCAATTGGCACATTAACTATAGTGCTTATAAATAATTTCTTTCCTAGATATCGTCCACGCGATAGTAAAGCTGATCTCACTAGTACTGACAGTGGGGCTATGGGCTCTAAGAAATCCGGTGACATTAACGTGGTCAAGTTTGTGACTGGTAACCCGCCTCAGTCTAAGAGGATATGGAAATGTGCAGTTGAGCAGCATACCTTCTTCAGGTACTTCTATTCTTCTCCCTCTCTCTACATGTACATGTAGTTCTGCCTATGATGGTTGGGGTTGTTGGGACAGCCACCTCAACAAATGAACCAACCAGTTCATCACTTAGACCAACCAGCCAATTAATATCAATAACCATACATAAAGCATGATATTGTAGTCTACTAGTATAGTGTACATAAATTTAAAAGGAACAATATTAGTCTCCAACCACCTCTAATTTTTTTTCTAGGCAGAACCTCTACATGTACATGTACATGTATTATACATGTACATGTATTAATTTTAAAGGCACAATTTTCACTACATGCACCACATGTATACCTTTTCCATTATCTGGAAAGTTATTTTGCCAAGCTAAATTTTCTCATGTTTCATGTAGTGTAGGTGTGGATTTGCTCTGTGGTGTGAGTTATGAATATTGTGGCTAGCTCATTTGTAACAATTAGAAACATTCCAGCTAATATTGTTATGCAATTTCCAAAGAACAGTTGTCCTGATTTGATAATGATTTGTTGTTCCAACAATTATTCAAAGCACATTCCTTTACACTACCACCAGTATCAGAGTAATACTCAGATTACTGACATTAATTTTGGGTCTATCTAAGACTCATAATGACAGTAGGAGGAGGGCCTGGGCAGTAAACTGTAAATCAATGCTTAAGTTATACATGTACATGTACATGTACTCACCAATGCTATAGTGTACTGTAGTCCAGTTGTATACTGGGTTATGGCTGGCCATTTAAAGAAATAAGCTGATTTCTTAAAAAATACCTAAATCCATGCTTTTGTCCAGAAATGGCTTCAAAATTGCACCCAACTTTTAAAGGAATACTGGCGCAGTTTACGGAAGAGCTTCATGGCTTTAGTAGACAGAAAGTTTATAAACAACAAAATGGCTGCGGGTTTATATCTTGTAATATAGCAACAGTTTATGCTCTGATTCTTGTTTCTGGAGCTCTGATACTTCAACAAATGATGCCTTCTCCACCAAACAAGAAGTAAGTACTTAACTGCATTTTGCTTCATCAAGTTTGCCGTTCATAAAAGGCTAGTGTCTTTTTTACGGGTGAGTTTGACCGTGTAGCTGTGTTTGCTAAAGTCGATATCTTTCTGAGCTCTTCTCTGGCCTTTATCTGAGATATTAATTAAGCAAGACTTTCTCTCTGTTCTTCTGCATGTCAATATGAACGCTCAGTGAAACTTTGCATAAGTTCTGCCATTTTTCTTTGACAAAATGGGATTTTTGGTCCCCAAAAATTGTATTTCATCATCAATTTACGAAAAGTGTGTGGATATCTGTACACAGCAACAGTATCTCTTTAATGTATTTTCTGATACAGTCTATACATTGCTTATGCTATACTAAAAGTTTGAGCTGATTCCGACTAAATTTTGTCAAGTTAAACCCACTTTAAAAACAGCAAATTTTTAGAAAGAAAAACGAAGGCTATAGTCCCTTTTTCAAAAAATGGCCCCAAAATCACCCCCTATTTTTATTCCATTCTCTGATACATAATGATGTACTTATGTTATATAGAAAGTTTGAGCTGATTCTGACTTCAACTTGTTACGTTATGGCCATAAAGAAACAGGCCATATTTAATCCTAAATACACATGTGCATGTACAGTACCTACTGCTCCTTTACTACTATTGTTAATAAATCTATTGGTATTGTATATTCATAGGCTCCAAGCACCTGACAGGCCATCACGTATACAGCAGGTCTTCCAGAGAGGGACCAAGTTCCGTTACAGTGGACGAACCTTCCGTCAGGTCCAAAGTGACGAGGTTAGCCGCCAAGAACCAAAATTTGTGAGGACACAGAGTCTCCGCCTCCAATCTAACTCAAAGAAATTTGGTAAGATATACATGTACATGTACATGTACATATGGAAGGCATATAAGATATAAAATATAAGATATAAAATACATGTACATGTATATGTACATGTAAACATGTACAATAATTACATGTGTATGTACATGTAATATATTGTAATACATTTTATATATGTATACAGTAATACATGTTCACTATTCAATATATGTACATGTACATGTATAAAAGATAAGAAATTCGGTAAGATACAAATGGGATGTAACATGAGACAGATAATTTGTCAACGACTGAGAATTGGAGTAATTGAATAAGAGAGAGAGAGGGTGGTGATAGATACATTACCTAATGTTATTATTATTGTTATTAGATTATGTTCCAGCAAGAAATTCGTTTCGTGCCAGATCAGCTCAACGTGAATACCAACAGGTCAGCAAGTGTGGGTTGTACATGTAGCCTGAATTGACTGATGTCAGCCAGTTTTTGAAGGCAACATGTGTACTACTTATTAGTATTGTAATGAATGGAGAAGACAATGGGTTATTCCAGTCCCATTCACAAGTGTACATGTACATGTACAATGTAGCGTTATTGCATTCATTGCTAATGTAAAATGGGACTAATTATAACTGGCCTGCGTGGACAAATCTTGTAAACTGCATGTACAATGTACATTGTAGCTTATACACAGAGTATAAAGCATTATAATATACATGTAGTGCATAACTTGCACATGAAGCACCATTCTGTCATAATGCAGTTAAGATGTACCATAGAATGACAACAGACTCTGTGTGTGTGTGTGTGTCTGTGTTGTTTGTGTGACACGTACATTGTACATGTAAGAGTTACCCATTTTAAGTCTGGCCTTATTTTGCACTAAGATGTACACGTACATGTACATGTACAAGGTCTGTTTACAGTTAGAATACATTAGCACATCATGTACTGTAATTTATATTGTATGAGCAAGTACATGTACATGTACATGTACAGTATAAGTAATTTTATCACAATAATTATGACAACGTTGTAGCTACATGTACATGTATACTAATTGAACCATACAAACACCAACTCACCAACCCAACCGTAAGCAGTAATTACTACTATCCAACACTCCCATACCACCATTAATAATAGAATAAAGGAAGGAAAGAATTAAATAATTATTGATGAATGTGATAATACACATACACATAATATAGAGTGCAGACAAGAACTCTTGGGTAATGTTGGATGCTCCTCCAGACATTGACCCTCAAGACGATGATAAAAAAACTTACGAGGAGCAGCAAGTCAAAATAAAGTTCCGACTCAAAGAAGCCATTCCAGACACCTCTCAGAAATTCGTGATAGTCAAGCGCAATAATAAGTATGAGATGGAGTATGTTGGAGGAGGAGGGGGAGGGAGTCAGGCTAGTGATCCAGAGTTTAAGTTGAAACCTGTCGACACCAAGTCTTTATCTGCTACCACTCGTGTGAGCATTCAGCTGGACAGTAAGCCAATCTATGTCGCACCCAAAGGGACCAAGTCCTCCCATGCTGTACCCATCTATGACAGCAGTCAGATCCCTGACGTTAATATGAGGTAAGGGAGAGAGAGAGAGAATATGAATTAATGTCATGTTTTGCTATTATTTGTTTATACATGTATATTAGCTACATGTATTATGGCCTGGTTCTTTACTACATACTACAGATATTTGCCTTGACAATTTACAATAGCAAAAAACACCTCAAGCATATGTACATGTACATGTTCATATAGAAGTGTGTGTTCAAATTTTATATCAACAGTTTCCCACCCACACATTTTATTGAAAACATAAATCAACCTTGTTCCTGCTTGTTCGTTTATAATAATTATTTGTATAAAGGATGATAAATTATTTGTAAATAATTATAATAAGAATCAGTATATGTGTGTGTGTGTATTTGTGTGTTTATCTTCATACTTGACATATTTCCTGAAATCAAAGGAATGTTAATGCACTAATCTGTTTGTTCAGTACTCCGGTACATCCTTTATTGTCTCTCTTCTTGTAGTCACTCCAAATCAAGCTATCAAAACGAAAGTGTTGAAGACATTACAGTCTCTCGTACCATCCATTCTGCGGGACAGTCTGCTACTGGTGCCCACCAGAGGCAGTATGAGGTAGTTTCTCCTTCCCTCCCTCCTCCTCCCTCCCTCCCTTGCTTGCTCTTAGGAACCCGTGACTGCTCACCAAGGCATTGGCATGAACTACTATTAATATTATTATTATTGCTACACACAGACAACACAGACATAAATTTTAATAAACCAAAATGAAATTAATGGTCGTGTAGTAGTAGTAGGCATAGTAGTGTGTGGAAGTGTTGGTTAGTAGTAATAGTAGGATGAATAGACTACCCCTCCCTTTGTTTATACAAGCCCACTATGAATATTGTTAGCCCAATCCCCGTGCCATTAGACTCTTCTCTTCTTTCTAAATGACTACTACTATCACAATACTTAACTATTTCCATCATTATCAACCTCTAGGAAGGTGGCCCTCTTCAGTTTAAGGCCCCCAATGAGGAGGAGGATCAGGCTAATCAGTTGAATCGTTTCCTGACGCGTGAGAAGGTTCTAATGACTCAAGCTATGAACAAGATGGAGGCCGAAGAATCTGAAAATGCAACACCTGCCCCAGTAAGTTATATTTACTCTAAAATAATATTATTTTTAGTATTTTCATTATTACATTATTGTCGTAAAAAGTAAAAATACATGTGTTTTTATTATTTTTTAAATTGTTTTATTAATTTTTATTTAGGTGGCAGTCACAGCTGAATCTTGATTGATTGATGCTACAGAAAACTTCTTTAAAACTAACAGTGCTACAGTAATAAATATTTAATTATTAATAAAATTGAGACTAGTATAATACATGAAAATGAAACTATATTAATTAACTCATTTTTTGCTTCAAATTGTACTTCCTTTTCCTTTGAAATTTTTAAAACCTTTTGTTCAAAATAATAATAATAATAATAAATTTTAGGAAATTACATTATTTTATTGCTACATACCTAATACAATATAATGTACGTGAGTGGGCTACAACTTACAAGCATGTGTGTGTGTGTATATATATATAGACATAACAGTGTATCTAAAAACCTTCATAAAGTGTATTCTAATGTACAAAAATCATCAATCCATCTTGCGAAGTTCACAAGCATAATAATAATAATTATTATTATAAAAGTGTTGTAGCAAAAAATAAATGACAACGTGTGTGTGCGAGTGGAGAGTCACATCAAAACAACTAGTTTATTGGAACTAAAAAGAGAACAGCTCCCGCAGCTCAGGGAGGAAGAGTAGAGGAAGAGACAAGAGATGAGAGTTAAGTTGATAGTAGAGTTTTCGTTGCTCTTGGGGTAGCTTCGTCATTAAAATGTTTCGTATTATATCTACAGACAAAAAAGAAGGATTGGTATTAATACGTGTAATATCTCATCATTATTTCATTGGCTCACTTTAATGCATTTATTAGTCCATCAGCACAGGACGGGTGTTCCTTTATTATCTTGATAGAAGCCTTCATCTATAACATAAAAGTATAACATCATTTATTCTATTAATCTCAAAAGTCTACATGTATACTGTATAGCGGGAAACTTCGGATGGAATTAAATTTGGCAAATTTGGCATTTTGATAGCCATCTGCCAAAATAAAGCCCACCATTTTGAGTCACTATATGCACACTCAATGGCACGTGGCCACAAACCCGCCAAATTAAAATTTGCTAATCACCAAAATTTAGCAATTTGCAAAATTGTAGTCCCTCCAAAAGTTCCCGCTATATAGTAATTCAATTTTAGTAGCATGTGCACATGTACATGTACATGTATTATGTGCGTGTGTGTGTGTGTGTGTGCGCGCGTGTGTGTTGTAGACATGTAGTCTAAAAGTGCATATGTACATGTAATAGTATAATACACGTAATTTTAGTAGCATGTTATTACATATTATGTGTATGTTTGTTGTAGTCCCTTACATCAATGGGTGCTCTCTTTGCAAAGGCACCAACAGGATGAAGGTGATCATAGAGTATAATGGCACCAACCATCACCCTTAGAGTGAATATAACAGTCTCTTCACTTTGAAACCTAGTTTTGTATTCGCTACAGAAGAAAGAATAATTATGTACATGTATGTACATCTGTAGCTAATTAGGTCACTTACGCATTTTCATTAATGACTCTACAGACTGAGGCAGTTGTACACAGACAGTCAGTCATTAAGTCAAGAGTGATTTCCGAATTCTAAAATAGAAAAATAATAATGACAAAACAAAACACAGTGGGGGAGGCAAAATAACAATTAGTATATGTACAAAATAGATAAGACAATTAGAATGTCATAGTGTCAGGTGCTGACTAACTTCTTTGAGTAGTTGTGAAGTAGCTCCAGCCAGTCCGTGAAGGATAGGAGTTGGGTTAGCATAAAAAAGTGACATACGATTAGCCATGTCATCAGGTAAGTCAAAGGCCTGATCACTTGATGATGCCACACCAGACGTAAGATCCTCCTAAACATTAGGATTTGAAATATTTATGCAATGTAATAGTAAATATTAGTAGCACAATGTACATGTACATGTAGAACAAATATGGAATTCATAATGATGATGGTAGAGTACAGTACATGTACATACCATCTTGCGTCTGTTCAATGTTCGCCTATAATAGCTGAAATCATTTTGTATCTGTGGGTTACCCATCTAAAAAAATTAAAGAGAAAGAGAAGGGGAGAGAGAGAGAGAGAGAGGGGGGGGAGAGAGAGAGAGAGAGAGTAAAGAAAGAGGAGAGAGAGAGAGGGAGAAAACAAAGAGAAGCACAAAGGCATGAGTAGCATGTAGCACATTTGCACTGTACTGTACCTTAAGGTCATCAAAAGCAAGGGTGAAGTCCAGTATATGTGCCAATTGTTTAGTAATAGCCTAAAATAGATCAACTATAAATAACATAGTACTATATATGGAGTGTAGCCTATGAATCTCATTAAGTAATGGTTGTTATAGCAACTGATCTACTTCCTAATAAGGGCTTGTATGAGTGTTTTTTCATTCTGCTTTAGAACTGTTGATATGTTTACAAACCCTATTAGAGTAAATTGTGGATCAACTCCACTGTGTTTATAATGAAACTAATGAACAGTTGTGCATTCATCAACCCTGTATGTACTTATATGTATATGCACACAGACACAGTAGTAGTAGTAATAGCTTTACAAGAGGCTTTGTTTAAAGGAGTACACAATCACAAAAATACCATTATATACATAATGATGTTAAAGTAATATGCATACATGTACATGTACATATAACTACACTTTGATGTACGCGTAGTAATACAACATTGGTCTTGTTACTCTACTCCATTTCTCCCTCTCTCTTTAGTCCTCAACGTACTTGTTGCTTTTCCAAATGCTCAATGGCGGCCATTGTCGGGAGACAGAGGATAACAAGTATATCACAGACAGCCTTCTCAAGGCTCAGTGCATACTCATAAAACGACTTTAATTGTTGGACTAGAGGACAGACCATCTGCCATGCCTTTTCCTGATGCTCTGAGCTTTGGGGATTAGATATAGCCTACACGGTCATATAAATACTAATGTATATACATGTACATGTACAATGAGAACAATTATTACATTACAAGGTGTAATTTAAAACTGTCAGGAGACTATGATGCATACAATATTCCTCCCCCTCCAATTGCTTCCTTTTCTCACCTCTCTAATTGATTCCCCCGCTCCTTTATAAGATCGTAACTCTTCCAGTATTCTCGGAGCATCTGTTAGTATCTCACTAACTTTACTATATACCTCTTTCTCAGCATCTGTAGGCTCAGCACCTGATGTAGAAGAGAGAGGAAAGAGAAAGATAGTGAGAGAGAGGGAGAGAGAGAGAGAGAGTACGACAGAACAGAAACAGAGAGAGGGAGGGACACAGGGAGAGAGAGAGGAGTAAGTGATGAGGAAGAGAAAGAGAGAGAAACAGAAACACAACAAGAGTGGAGGGATTCTATTACAATGAAATCCGATCAGTAATTAAACACATTCATACCAACATGAGACATGCAGAATGCACATGCAGAGCCTATTCGATAAATACATTATTAGGATGAGGATACAAACACACAAACAGGACAATACAGAATAATCTGTCTCCTAACAAAGTGATGACAATGTGTGAAGGGTAAGGGGAAGAAATGAGCAGCTGTTACAATTTGAAGCAACCAATAATCATTCAAGCAGTATTGTACATGTACGTGACATAATGCAGCTGTGCAAATAGGCCAGTTGGGAGGCATAAATTATATTAGTTATGGCAATAATAAGCCATTGACACTATGTATTTTGAAACAATGTCCCCCCCTAACAAGATCAAGCTGCATAGCATTTGTCTCTAAAGCTACTAATTATTGAGAAAGCATGAGGAAAGAGAGGAAGAGATAAGAGAAACACACTTTCAAAATCCACATAAAAGTCCACTTTAGGGACTGGTCCTTTGTCATTGAGCACTCTCAGTAGGTTACCCATCTGTGAAAAAAAAAGCTTTAATAACATGTCTGGATTTATTCATACTTGATCGTAGCTTTGACAGCAGTTCCATGCAACATAATAATAAAGTTATCAAACACTCGTACCTTGGTTGACTCTCTCTCGCTTTTTCTGAGATTATAAGACAGCAAGAGCAGGAGTGAGGGACAGTCAGTGGAGCCACAAGATGGTAGGGTTTATGGCAAGAAGAAGCTTTGCGCAAGCGCAGAGGATATGGAAACGCCTACCTGTCACGTGAGACGCGACACCCGCCCACTGAATGACGTGTGATTAAAAATAGGCGTGTCGTCCAATCCCCAAAATCCCAAATCCAGAATTTTTGCAAAAAAATAATGGTGACATTAATCACTGGATTTTCTGCTAGGTTTAGCTTCTCAAGGCTGTGCCCATGGCATAGATTATTATCTACTGGAGCTGATATTGATTGCAGTAGCTCTAATGACGGAGTCTTTTTTCCTAGAAGAGCACTAATGTACATACCAGGCTCAGATGTTAGGAAACTTAATAAAATCCCAACATTAGGAGTAGACACTGTCGCTATTGACCTTGAAGATGGTGTAGCAGCTAATCAAAAGGTACTTTAAAATTAAGTAAGCATTAAATAAATAAATAAAATTAATATAAATAAATTAAAAAGGGTGTGACAGCCATAGATCGGGTATGTTTGTCAAGGTGGGTTCTCAATATGGCGTATTACTTGTCCAACAAGAAGTGCCGTGTCGACAGACAAAAGTTCTATTTTGACGCATGCTAATCTTCAGTACTTTTAATATAAACGATAAGCAATTTGTAATATTGAGTAGTACCAAATGTTAATAATTATGCTAAATACTGTAGGGTGCCTTTTTTAAGTCTGTAAATTTCACAAGTTTCACGATTTTTTTAAGATTTGCAAAAACTACTTCCGCAAAAATCAAATTAATACAGTACAAGATGGCTGACGGCATAACAGCATAAAAACCACTATACGGCATTATAGTACCAACTTTTAATTACACTAATATTATTTGATGTAGGAAGCAGCACGTTCCAATCTCCCTCTTGCTCTCTCACTTGCAACTCAAGGAAATAGTGAAGTTCTCGTTAGAATTAATGACATGACTAGTGGTCATGTCAAAGATGATCTCAAAGCAATTTTTGCCCATAGGATAAAGCCACACGGCATCATGCTACCTAAATGCGAGAGTAAAGAAGACTTGAAGATAGTAAGAAAATTTTTTCTGCATGCTTAAACAATAATGTATTTTGATCAGTTAGATTTCTTAGTTGGTTTTTACACTCCTCCTGATGCTCCCATTCCTTCATTGCATATAATGATGGAAAGCATCTCGTCTCTCCTTTCAATCAGGGATACCTGTAGCTATGGGCTTCATAGGTTAAAGCATTTAGTGTTGGAGTCTGTAACGTTTGGATCCGAAGATTACCTTGCCAGTTTGGGTATGAAATAACCACAGATATATGTACATTTATGTAATATGTAAAAAGTATCTCTTTGTACATGTGTATAATCAAATAAACGTACTTCTGTTCCCAAGATTGTTTTCACCACCTGGCATGTACAGCTGGGTTCTTGTTGAGACTTATAGAGGTTCTTTCTACTTCTTATGCTTATAAAGAAGTATTTTGGGATATCCTTATTCTATGTAGAATAGAGAGTTTGAGCTGATTCCAACTGAAACTTTTTGTGTTATAGCTGTTTAAAAAAGTATCAGATTTTTAGGAAAAAGCAACGACTATAGTCTAGGGTGTTTTCCAAAAAAATTAATGGCTTTAAAATAATCCCCAATTTTTTATTGCATTTTCTGATACATATTGATGCATTTATGCTACATGTATGTAGAGAGTTTGAACTGATTCCAGCTAATTTTTTCATGTTCTGACCTTTTTTAAAGTATCAATAATCATCTCTTTTTTTTCAATAATAAAGTAACCACTGTTTCGGAGTTCACATAGCTATTATTCTAGGAATACATGATGGGGAAGAATCTCATTTACTTGCTGCAAGACAATCATTCGTAACACAGGTCAAATCACTGGGTTTGCAAGCACTTGATTCTGTTAGTGTGGACTATAAAGGTAAGACAGAGGAACAGGAATGAGTATAAGGAAATGTGACTTACATGTACATTAATTTATGTGTACGTTTATTAATTTATTAATTTGACATGTACATTAATTTTTTACATTAATTTTATTTGTAGATATTGAACGCTTAAAGTTAAAATCAGAAGACTCTGCAAGAATGGGTTTTACAGGTTAGCAATTACTATCCAGTATCCATTGATAATTACTAGACATTTCATTGAAAGAGATAGACTATTATGAGATAATGAGAGGAGAATAAAGTTACGCAGCAAACTTAACACATAGACTCTTTTGATGAACACTTAATATTTCTAATTCTAAAAGTCCAATTTTTGATCAGAATCAGCTCAAACTTTTTAAACAAAACAAGAAATACCATATTTATGATTAGAAAATGTAGTAAGACTTTCATAGCCATTTTTGATAAAATACCCTGTAGTATTTATACTTATACATATACTGTACAGGATTTTTGGCTGCATAAATTTTTTGATCAAATTTTAAAAATTCAAAATGAGTTCAAACTTCTACATGTATGTATTAGACAGTTGAATAAAAATGGAGTGTTTTCTCCAGGTTTCCATTAGCATACTAGTAAGATAATTAAGCATCATTATACCATCATACTTTAAGAGTTGGCAATAAGCCGAGCACTTAATAATTTTAATGATAGTCCAGTAAATGTACATCTTTTCATCTTATAGGGAAGCAAGTTATTCATCCAGGACAAATTGATGTGGTTCAGTCAGCATATTCCCCATCACCGGAGTCAATAGAATGGGCAGAGGAGCTAATACGAATATTTAAAGAGCATCAACAATTTGGAAAAGTATGAACAATTATTTTTGAGCCCACACTATCACATTATCAGAATTCAATTTTAAGTTTATAGTTTCACAGGCCATTAGCTGCATGCATAAAAATCAACATAAAATAAATTATCATCAACGTTTTTTTGGCTAAAAATATTTCTCAATTTTTACTGCACCCCATGTAACTGAGCCAATCCCAAATGACAAAATTTTGAGTGGTAACAGTTAAATTTTGGTCAAAGACTATGTACAGTCAAACCTGTCTATTCCGGACACCTTGGGACCCAATAATACCCTCCTGATTACAAACCTGTCCTTATTTCAGAGGTTCATTAATACACATTACTATTGTATTGGGACTGATACTACCTGTCCTCATTATAGAGGCCTCCTTATTTTAGAGTGTCCACAATAGCAGGTTAAAATACTACAGTATCATAATCCTAAAAGTGTACTAAATGTACATTGTATACATGTGTATATGCTAGACCATAGCTAAATGTAATTATAGCTACAGTAATGAAATGAAAAACAATAAACTAAAAACAACACTAGCAGTGGTTTTGTTATTTTTAGGGAGCATTCACATACAAAGGAAAGATGATTGACCGACCTATACTACTGCAAGCAGAGAACATACTTAAGATGAAAAAAGCTTTGAGAAAAGACTAATAATAATAATAATAATAATAATAATAATAATAATAATAATAAAACATTATTAATGATAATATACAATCAATAACAAAGCAACGTTTTAGTCTCTACTTTATCATGTAAATAACAATTGCCATAATTGTACGTCACAAGTGTACATGCAGTATCCGACCCGGCCCCCGGCTAATATTCATCTTGCTCTTCCTCCTCGTATTGATATTCTTCATACCCCACAGCATCAGGATCATAATATTCGACCGGTTGTTGGAGCTGCTCCTCTTGTCCTTCTTCATCTTCAGGTTGTTCAAACCCCTCCTGCAATGAAATGGAACTGTAATCACATACATGTACATGTACGTGTACATGTACATGTAAATACTGCAGGGTTTAATTTTAATGCCTACAAAGAATGCTAAGGAATGAGCTAAACAGCATATGCTTCATGAGCTGACAAGCACTAAAATACAATACATGGGGAGTAACTTTAAAAATTCATGGCTTTTGGTTAACACAGTAAGGCAGAACTGCATTAACTAGTATGTACACAGTACATGTACATGTTAATTGTGCTTACATCTTAACTAGGGTAACAACCAATAATTAGCAAATACTATGGAAATTAATGTAATGCAATTGTAATTTGTAATTACACAAAATATGCATTACCACAAAAGTGTACTACAGTCCAATGCTTCATGTTTACCTGAGTCTCATACATGATTGCCAGTATTGACTCAAGAACCGGCAATTCTCCATTTTCTTGGCAGATTATCTCGATTTTGCGTAACTTCTCGAAATAAAAGTCTCGCTCCGTCTCCAAACTAGTGATATTCACCTCAAACTCAGCTATCTACAGGAAACCAGAATATCACAATAACTCAATCATCTGTCTCTCTCTATTACAGTGTCTATGTATGTACATGTACATGTACGGTATATCCTCAAATAAAAGCCAGGTACAAATAAAAGCTGGGCAGCAATAAAAATGAACTATACACAAGTAATTATGCAAATCTAGCCTAGAAATACATCTTGTAACTTCATTGCCCTGCAGATACTTCCTTAAACTTCTTGAAGTCTTGGGCGTGAGGCCATGAGTTCAAATTTTGCTGCTGGCTCAAGTTTATTTTATTTTTAATTTTTCAAGGTCCAAATGCCATTTTAAAAAATACACGTACATGTACATGTAGATGCCCAGGCTTTTTTTTGAGGAAATACTGTAATCATATTACTTGATCCTGTAGTTCTCTGACTTGCTGCTGAGCAGCTTGCAGTTCCTTTGCACTAGCTCCTCCTCCTCCTCCATTAGGAGCTGCTGACTTAACAGCAGCAGCTGGTGCTTGTCTATTGAAATACAAAATGTACATTGACAATGTGAACACAGGGTACAATACAAGTGTGTATCATGAATCCTAGAACATTCCAGGAGACCATCTGCTAATAAGAGCTAGTCTAGGATTCTTTTAAGGTTGTTCCTTGTAATGTACAAACTACCATATAGTGGAAAATTTTTGTGGCTCAAAAACTTCGTAGATTTCGTGTTTTTTTTTTCAAAATTCACAAAAATAAAATCAGTGAAAATCGAGTTAATACGATTCAAGATGGCCAAAGAGTAGAAAACCACAAAATTAAAGCCACAAACTTGATTTTTGAAGGAATCTGTGAAATTTTTGGGTCACGAAAATTTTACGCTATATGGAATAATCTTTTATTTAACACAACAATTGAACGATACACATACTTCACAAGCACAATAAGTACATGTACATGTACATCGTAGTACATGTACGTGCATAAAAAAAATTAATAAAATTAGTCACAAACAGCATTGACATACACACAGTAATTTTATGCTACACTGATCATGCAATAAAGGAAGCACAATAAGGTTTGAATCTTTGTAAAGCGGAAAATTCTTGTGGATTTAGCATTACTCAAAATTCTATAAAATAAGTCCGCAAAAACCAATTAAATACAGTTCAACATGACCAAAAAGTAGAAAATCACAGATGAATTTTTGGATCAATTCAAAAAAATTTCAGACCCCAAATTTTCCGCTACACAGCATACCAGTTTCAACAATGCAAATTTTCAATACTTACTTTGTAGGAGGAGGTTTGGCACTACTAGTTGCACTGGTGGTCGCTACTCTCCCTTTGGGTTTCTGAGAAGACTTGACTATCCCACTAGTACCAGGTGGTCTCATTGACTTCCCACTAGCTGGAGGCTTTCCCGGTCCTTTAGCAAGAGCAGCGGCAGCACCTGTTGCTATGGTCTGGCCTTCTCTCGCCGCTACAGGATCATATTCCTGAGAGCCGTCATAGTTTGCCTGATAAAACTTGTAGAACCATTGGAGGAACTCAAAGTTATCCTGGTACTTTCCCTTGACTAGTTTTTCAATGGGTATCATCTGAAAGAATAATAATAATCATTAATTTAGATACACGCATATAACATGTACATGTATTAACAGTGATAATGTCATGTATCACACAAGCATGTAAGTACCATACGTGTCTTAATTTTCGTGCTCATATTAAATTCATGAAATTTAAATCACCTCTATAATGCCATTCCATTGTATGTAGACTATGGCCAAAACACAAAAATTAGCTCAAACGAGTAACTTTTGAGCACATTTCATTGAAACACAAAATTTTAAACACTCAAAAATTTGAATGCACAATGTACATGTATATGGTACATATATAAACAAAAATACATGTACAAAAGTACCATAGATAGTTACATGTACATGTAGATACTGTATATGGGTTTTATTTTGTTGGCATAAAATTTTGCAAATTTGTTCAGATTTGCCATTTGTCAGTATAAATTTTAGTGAATCTTATCTCACAGCCATTTTTTATTACTGTGCCACACCTCTTTTGTGGAATTTAATTTTGTAAATTTCACGAAAACGCAAAATTAGCAAAATTTATTTCCAGTAAAATATAACACATGTATTATACGGTAAATGCTAAATGTACATGTAGTTTTATAACAATAAGCCTATATGTGTACATACATCTACATGAGTCTTACATATGTTAGTGATTACCACAATGTTGTTAGGAAATTGTCAATGGGTAGTTCAATGCTGAATTTGATATTTGAATGCTGAATTGCTGAATTCAGCATTACTATTGAATGCTGAATTGATATTTGGTATTTGAATGCTGAATTTGGTATTTGATAATGGCATTTGAATGCTGAATTTATTATTTATTAGTATAATAAAGCAAAGCTTACAACATGAAGCTCAATGAGTAAATGATACTCTAAAACTAATTCAATAGAAATTTAATACAAGTACATCTTAAATTCTTAAGCCAAAAAATCAACCCTAACATTTAGTTAAAGGACCTGTACAATGTGTGAAAAGTATGACTTGTTAAATATACATGTAAATAATCTTTGGTATTTTACATACATTGTAAGTACATTTGTACTATATACAATGTACATGTACCATACAAGATGATTTATTGGCCGGAGTAATATTTGGTGAATTTGCCTGTGGACAGAAATTGGCGGATTCTATATTGGCGATTTTGTGCCACGTGCCATTGAGCATGCTCAGATTAAAACAAAATGGCGGATTTTATACTGGCAATTTCTTCATAGAAACGCCAATCGCCAATATTAATTCCTCACCAATAAATCATCTTGTATGGTATACAGTAATTGACACAGACTTTTGGTAAAGGGGAATTCATTGAGCATCATACATTAGTGTAATCTCACTAATCTGATTATAAATATGAGCAATTTACCTTTTCTAGGTTGTGCTATTAGCATTAATTATAATGTACAGGATGACATATACAGCCATGCACTACTATAGATGTACATGGCCAAAATTTGTGTAGTAATAGGACTTTTAATACTGACTGTAAATTTACATGTACATCAGCACAAGTCAAGTATACACCATACATGTACATGTAGTTGAAATGTCAACTAAAAAAATACAAATCAGTGAGAAGACAGAATTCTACAGTTATAACTTTTGTAAATGGCTAGCACATTTGAATCATATCAAGGCTACTGCCTAATAATTTCCACCATTAAAACTTGTGTTTCAGGACAAAGCACAATCCTTAATAGTTTTGTACCGTATAGCAGGTTTATTTTGAGGATAACAAATTTCACAAATTTCGTGGATTTTTGAAGATTTGCAAAATTTAATTCCTTCAAAAATGGCACAAGATGGCAGAAAAGTGGCAATTCGCAAAAATTAATTCTGTGAACCTCCGGATTATTATTCTGTGAAAATTGTTATCCTCCAAATAAACCTGCTATATAGTATTATAAATGATGGCATAAAGCAAGGAAACATAAATATATCATTAAAAAATTTACCAAGAAAATACATGTACATGCACATCATTTAGGCGTTATAACATGTTATGACATCATCAAATTTCAGTTAAAATAGAATTAGACACAGTAAAGTAACAAAACGACACGGCAAGTGAAAGAGATTGTGTAACACACCCATAGCCAGTTTATACACATATGTATACATGTATGCTTAATTACATTTGTAATATAAACAGCAAGTGTACTAAACATGTACATGTATCGATACAATCGGTAGAGTGAAACTTCACTTAATACATTGCATGTACATTGTACATGAATGTTGTATGTAAATCATAGTAAACAGACCTTGTCCACGCCAACCTTCTTGAAACACGTCTGAAGAGTTTTGTAATTTTGAATATACTCGTGTTCTAGCTTAGTACAGAATTTGACTTTCTTTAATATAATAGAGCCTTGAAAGAGTTGATCCATAAACTGACAGTAGACAGCACCTACAAGAAACATTATAATGAGAGAATGAGTCAGAAAATGACAGTCATAATTTGTAAATTAGTCTCAAGGGAGAAGTGTTGCCATGTGACAAAATAGCCTATAGCCTAAAAATTCATTAAAGTTTCCCTTAGTACTAGGTGGGGCCAGACTACCTTAGTACATGTACCGACCGTAACACAAAAACAAACTGATTAATGGGTATGTAATAACAAAAACTAAATCACATATATACAACTGTATATGCTTGTACAACAATGCATTATAATGATGCTCAAAGTGATTAAGGACAAGGTTTGATGTAAAGCTGTTCCCATTAACAATACATTAATAGGGAGAATTGGTGACAGGGTAGGGGGCTACTGAGAAGGTAATGACTAATGAGTGAAGAGGGGGAGTGGGAGTCACACGAGAAGTTGTACTATTATCGTATTCTTCACGTTACCAGAACATAGATCTTCTATTTTGGCAATGTTACACTTGAGGCTTTCGTTAATCCAGTTAATGTAATCGTGGCGACTGAGAGACTCTGTCGTTGAAGACGTGGCAAAAACGTTCACGGCCATCCTCTAAGACGAAGAGAGAAATCAGGAGAGAAGAAGGATCAGGAAGGGGCTCTAATTATTAATTAACTAAAATTAAAACCACGCCTTTTTAAAATGGCGTCCAGCTCTATGGTCTCAAAAATACAACAACTTGGAAAGATGCTCTCAGAAACTAAAAGCTTTGACAGAGTATTGTCGAAAGTAAGTTTAATATTTATTAAAAATTAAAAAAATTATTTATAGATCAAGTATAATTTTTTAATGATTATTTTCAATATAAATTTTAGTCAAGGCATTATGGTCAGGGCTTCCCACAAAGCATGCTATTATGAGCTAAACAGCATGAGCTTCATGAGTTGAAAAATACTACAATACAGTACATGGCATTTTGAGCAACTTGGAAAATGCATGTACGTTGTATATTAAAAATCCAATTTTGATCAGCTCAATTTTTACAAATTTTTTACAAGCATTTATATGTATCAGAAAAGTTATAAAAATAGAGAATTCTCTTCTAGCAATTTTTAGATGAAATTTGGCTAAAGACCAAAGGTCTTTGGTCATTGGCTTGATTTTAAAGTAAGTTTTTAAAATTATAAAAAAATTCGAATATGATCAGAATTAGCTCAAAGTTTATACATGACATGTATGTGCATCAGAAAAAATTATTAAAATGCAAATTTCTCTCCTAGTCATTTTTGTACTATAGTACAGGGTTTTTGGCCAGATTTTAGAATAACTTTAAAAATTTTTTAAAAATTCATGAATTCAGTTCAAAGTTGGTATACAACATTAGAACATTTATACGTATCACAAAAAATTACGTGTAAATGGAGAATTTTTCGTTGTGATTTTTGTCAAAATACCCTGTACTACAGTACAGGGTCTTTGGCCTAATTTTTGTGCGACTTAACAATTCAGTGAAAGAAGCTCCATGAACACTATACTAAAATTTTTTGCGAAAACCTGATTATAGTTTAGAAATTTTCCCCTACAGTATGATACTTTGATCCCATTTACACTAATCCACTACACTGATGAATTAGGATTGTAAAGATTTATCATTCGTTTGTAAAAGTATCCACTTTGGTATCTGTTTTCATTTTGCTTCAGATAGGTGATGCATTTATATGTATTAGTATAAACACAAGCTTTATCAAGAATCAAAAATTCTCTGCTTACATGTGAAAATGGATTAGTGTAAATGGGGCCTTTATTTGTTATTCACCATCAGGTTAGAATCGTGTCAGCAGCTAAAGGAAAGCTAAGTTGTGAGTTGACAGTTGGAGAGGAACATACTAATCTTGGTGGCACTCTGCATGGTGGATTGACTGCTACAATCATTGACAGTGTGTCAACCTGGGCAATAGTTAGTGCTGAGCATCCACCTGGAGTCAGCACTGATCTTAATATTAGGTAAAATAATTGTACTACATGTATTATAGCTGGAAATAGCTGGAAATATTGCAAAAATTATATTAGGCAATTTTTATTAACTTGTATATGTACACGTAATTGGTATATTTTACGTTGTAAATTTAGTACTATTACTCATTGAGCATACTCAGAATGAAGCTAAATGATATTAGTGTTGTCCACCTACTGCTTAGCAGGGTTTCCCACAGGATTTTTGCATCTAGCTTATTGTCAATGGATTGTCAAATTTCTCAAAAATTGGGCCAAAGACCCTGTACTATAAGGTCCCCTAAGAAGTCTGGTAAGCATAAGAGCTCATTTTCCTGGTATAGCAAGGCTGCAAAAGTTGTGGCAGCCATTTTGTTTGGGGGTGAATCCTACTTAGTAACACTAACCATGTTACTAATTATACCATATAGCCGGTTATTTTTGCAGGTTGCAAATTTTGCGGATTTTGTGGATTCCTTCCTGATTTGCGAAAATAAAATCTGCAAATATCAATTTAAGACAGTACCTACATAGCACATGTGGTAGAATTTGTGAAATTAATATCTGCAAATTGGAATTTTAGTAGATTTCACGAAATATACTGTAAGACCCATGAAAATTACTGGCTATTTTGACATAAACAACAAGGAGAACATTTTTATTTTCATAATTTTATCTGATACACATACATGTAATTCTTATGTTGTGTAGCAAGTTTGAGCTGATTCAGATCAAAATTGGATTTTTTACGATTTTTCAACTTCAAAAATTGGGCCAAAGTCCCTGTACTATAGTATGAGGTCATTGCAACTTTTACTAAAAATGAAAAGGAGAAAATTTTCCATTTTTAATATTAACAAATATACCAGTACATGTTAATTGTTGTGATGTGTAGCAAGTTTGAGCTAATTACAATAAAAATTTGATTTTTACGATTTTTAAGTTGCTCAAAAATTGGCTGTACTATAGTGCAGGGATAATACAGGGTCATGGCCAACTTTCGCCAAAAATGACTAGAAGAGAACTTCTTCATTTTTATGATACACATACACGTGCTCATGTTATGCTTCAAATTTGAGCTGATTTAATCAAGCTTGGATTTTCTATGAATTTCTAAAGTTGCTCCGAATGCCATGCACAATATTGTCAGCTTACCGTATATGCCATATATTTCGTGGGGATTAAATTTTGCAATTTTCATGTTTTTGAAAAATTTGCAAAATTCAAATCTGTGAAATGGCGTGCTGATTGTATAGTAGGTGTGGTAATTAGATTAAAATCGCAAAATTTTTATTCGCGAATACAAAAATGCAGCCAAATTGCGAAATTTTATACCTGCTAAATATATGGTGTATGTGGTATTTATTTACTTACTGTGGGGATTATTCACTTATTGTGGGAATATGAATTAAAGCTATGACCCGGGACCCTTTAGCAAAACCGGTTAACTGGTCACCAATAACTGACGGTTAATCGGTTAACTGATTGTTAAATGAAACTTAATATTGCTACTATAAATATGTAAGACTAGTAAGAGCTACAATAAATAAGAGTTTGATTTAGTTGGCTGACACAACTTACATGTATATGCTCTTTTTAATGATACATTTGTATAACATTTTCTTGTGAGTCACAAATGTCAATTTACTAGAAATTAGAAGTGTTCCTGCTTGAAATGTGACTAAATCACTAATTTTATAAAACCGGTTATAGCTAAAAACAAGAGTAGATAATAACTGATAACCTGAAATTATGCTGCAACCAGTCGGTTAACTGGCCAACCTAAAACCAGTTCACAGCTCTAATTTGAACCTTGCTGCATTACTAGTATTAATTCTCTTCTAATATTTCCAGCTCACATTATGTACATGTTCATATGGGTAATATCATACAGCGGAAAATTTTGTGGCCCAAAAAGTTTGTAGATTGGTTCAAAAATTGATTTTGTGGCTTTAATTTTTGTGGTTTTCTACTTTTTGGCCATCTTGAACCATATTGATTCGATTTTTGCAGATTTTATTTTCTTGAATTTTGAAAAAATGCAATATACCCACGAAAATTTTGGGTCACGAACATTTTCTGCTATATTATGGTAATACATGAACAGTTATATTTTGTATTTTTGGAATTTGTGTGAAGTTCTTCTGGGAATAATTTTATTAGTTACAGTGAAACCTGTCCTAAAGGTCACCTGAATAATGAGGCCACCTCTCTATTACAGCCATAAGCCAAAATCCCGTACTAAATGGCTGTATTACAGAGGCTGATCTGTAATGCAGCCACCTGCATAATCAGGCCATTTAAAACTGGCCCAAGGGTGACCTGATTAAGCAGGTTTCACTGTACACGTACATGCATGGTTATCAATAAACTTTAAAATTTCATTGAAGGATTTCTGTTAGTTATTTTTGACTGTAAGTATAAGGCCATGTTTTCACAGTTCACTACTCTCAGTTTTCATTGGAAACTGGAGACTTTTAGTCACGGATACAGGTTTCGTTTACACTAAAACACATGAAAACTTATCCAGAATGCTGATACTTCTGTTAATACTTCTGTGAACAACTGAATGAATGATAAGTTCAAATGAAAACCAGCTAGCTGGCCAGCGTTGGACTAGTGTAAAACAGTAACAAAACTATTCAGATTCAGTGGAGCGGAGCAGAGTAGTGTTAACAGTAGTATAAATGCAGCCTTGAAATCAGCTGCCTTAAAGCTACATGTATTATTACAACACAAATACATGTATATCAGCTCTCTAGAATTTTATAGCACCTTGCTTAAATGTTACATTTTTAATTTAAATTATCTGACATTTTTGATGTCCATTTTTTAGTTATATGAGACCTGCTAAAATTGGAGAGACAGTAATAATTGACGCAGAATGTCTTAAAGTTGGAAAGACTCTTGCATTTGCCAGTGTTAGCTTGTTGAACAAGGACACTGGGAAACTGATAGCTCAGGGAAGACACACTAAGTACATTGCTTGACTCAGTTTGGATTCAGTTGTTATTATCATTCGCATACCCAAGTCACATGTATAATCATCACCTTTAAATTTGTAACTTCATTTATTAAATTAATTTATGCAAGTTCATATTGTCAAAAAGTATTTTATTAGTTAGAGATAAACTTTAGATAGGGTTATTATTATTAGTATCTTATCTCTCAAAAGCAGACAAAAGTTAGTTTATTATATATTATTGTTATTGTTGTTATTATTATTATTATTACTATTATTATTATTGTTATTGTTGTCATTATAGTACTATTATTTTCAGTCACTGCAACCACCCATGGTGTGCATGCAACCAAGCCCGACATTTTGCGACACGATATGCTGCTCTTTGCTCCTTGCTTGGTGTTTGAGA